CACAGGAGTTTCCGCACCGGAAGTAGCATATGCTAACGTGCACATAGCAGTGACAGAAAAGCGGATTCCCGACTGCTCTGAACATCGTACTCGTTGATTTTTCATTACATGCTCATGAAGAACGGGTGCAGCCCCTCAGCTGGCTTTTGGAAGCTGACCAATCAGAAGAAACTGGGCTTTTAGAATGGAGGGGAGGTTTAAAAGACGGGAATTAAACTGGCTGCTATCTTGCTGCTGCTCCCATCACAATCTCACTGTCTTAGTTTCTGTAAAGTATTTTTCAGTTGTTTCCAAAAATGGTCCTCTGAGAAACATCACTCAGCTGATCTCCATCATCACGCTCTATTCACCAAATGCTCACAGCTGCCCAACCCAACGAAGGACCTCAATAAGAACTGATGATGAATTTTAAGTACTGGAGTAATCACTAAGTTAAAGCACTTGTTAGCATGTTACTGCGGCCAGAAGCAGCAATGATGAATCTAGAAGGAGGAGGAAGCTGCAAAGGTAAAAGAAGAACGCACGGCGAAGCTCAGAGAGTAGATATGACCGTGCAAACCGTGCAAACCGCAGGAACACGCAAAGAAGTTCTAAAACATAAACGTGGATCAGATCCATGTGCCTATCGCACTTCAGTTCAGCAGAACTAATGACATTCCCATCAGCCTCAGCTCCACTTTATGTTTAGCGCCATTTTACAGATGTCCTCCATTTTTTAATCTATATGCAGCCTGTAGTTTAACTCGCCATCCAAATAACTCCAAACTCTTTCTCTCTATCAAACGGTGACTCACTGCAGCGCTGGACAAACGTCTACGTCCACTTGGGAAAGACGTTCATGTCGAGGCAGGTGGGGATTTTAATGATTCCTGCAGCTGCTTTCACTCGCAGAGGGGTGGGAAACATGCCTGTTTGGAGCAAAACAAATGACTTTAAGACGAGGCAAAGACACCACGGAGTAAATCAGACTGTTATAATTCGTTCATTAATGCAGTTTCTTGTTCTCAGCCTTTTTGAGATGAAACACTTAATAAGCACTGGGCTGGAACAGCTCGAATTATTTGATTAGATTCTTTAGCTCGATACTAAAATCTGTTTTTATTGTGCTTAAAGCAGGGTCTGTGTAACAAATACAACTTTTTTTAATCTGAGTTATTTGGTGTAAAATGAGAAAACATGGGACAACATCCTGGTGTTCAAGGTGATGGTCCAGTATCAACATGAAGCTTAACAAAAAACAAGGCAACGACTAATTGTTGTGGCATGTTTTTGTGCAAAAAGACTTAATTGTGTATTCATTTAGTAAAAATCACTCTAAATGCCACCCTGCTCTTGATAAAACAGCCCAGTACTGTGAGCTGAGTCATAGTTTCGGGATGGTAATGATATAAAATGTCCGAAAGGCACCAAATGTTTGTTTTTCCTGAATCATTCACACAAAATGCGGAAGCAGAAACATTGGAAGTAAAACTTTAATGTTCCCTACAGGTGTGTGTAGATGGAGCACAGCTGGATGCAGCGAATGCCAAACGACTCCAGATCCTCTGGAGGAAGCGTGCTTTTCACATTTCGCTCGGCCTCTCTGTTACTGTAACGTCCTCTTTGTGATTGTAATGCATCTCGTAAAGTTGCAGTTTTCCTGCTGTGAAGCTGCAACATGTTTCCAGACCGAGCTTCACTTTCCTCCC